TGTAAGCTGTACCATGTTATATCATTTCCTGTATAGGATTGCTTGAGATCCCTGAAAAAGGAAGCCAATTTTCTGAAAGGACACTCAAACAATTGAATATTTCCTGTTCTAATAAAGGAGAGACTTAATATTCATAGGCAAATAAATAATTAAGGGCTGTGATTAAAAACGTTTTCAACTCTAGCAAATCAGTTCATAGAGTATGAAAAGAAATTTTTAAAAAAAACAAAAACAAAGCCACCAAAGAAGTTCTCTAGTTGGAGTTGCTTTCAAATCACAGCAGAGTCAAGATGTTGTCAGAAAAATAAGTCTCAGAGGTTAACTTTTAAGTCAGAGAGTTGCTATTTAAGAGCTCTCTGTAGGAAGATGTTGTAAATGGCAACACAAAAACTAACCCAGGTGCTGATGGTGGGCAGTGCCCAGATGAAGAGAGAGTGAGGGAAAGGATGTATCTCAGGAAAAAAACAAACCAACCCAAACCCCATTCTGCTAAGCTTAAGGTCACTACAAAATTTATGATTTTTTGAGAAAGTAAAAATATAACGTGCCTCAACTTGAAACTGGGTCTAAACATACTGTAGCAATCACCTCCTTTTCCATCACAAGCAGGACAAGATGACACACATCTATGGTCACAACCTTGCAGCTTCCCAGTGGATTTGGCAAATTCCCTCTCAAGCAGCTAACAGAAACCAGGCAGCACCAATTCACAGAAGTCAAGGAGACAGACGCCCACCACTAGCATAAGAGGGATAAACAGTCAGTCATGTCAATTCCATTATGGAATACAGAATCCAGAAAAGTGACTGAAACACCCAGAAATAACTTTTTCTACCTTCTTTAGGGAAATTTAGCAGAAATCCCGCTGTAGGAAAATAAGCTCATGCGTGTGCTCGCAGAGAGGGTGTTATCTGCCTTAAGGTTCTCACCTCAGTGGGATGCGGAGGATAAAGTGGGGAGAGGAGTTAAAGTGAAGTCAGAGACATTAAATTAAACACATTTGTGGATCAGATTTAATCCTAGGCCATCAAAAAAAGTCAACTGTCAAATCTGTAGGATGAGAGCCATTTGAGATTTTAGATCAAGTGAGATCTAGCCTCCAATTCCTTTCTTTCCACATATGCCATCTTGAGTCTTCCAGAAGAAATATAAGCAAAGTCCTTATCAAAGGGAATTATTCCAGGGTAGTGGCCTTCCATTTCACAGTCTCCACCTAAGCTCTAAGCAGAGGAGCTCATCAATAGATCATCTCCCTCTCCAGGCTGGCAGCTTTACTGTTCTGCCCAAGGAATGCAGCCTTGGATACAAGTTTGGGAGGTGAAATTCTCAATATTACAGGGAAATGAAATATATATACACAAAGGGAGAGAGGCTGCAGATTTTGGCAATGGACTTCAGACTTCAGCCTTGTGTCAAACAGTGACCACCCTGGAGCCCAAAGGATGAGAGAAGGCACCACAGAAGCAAAAGACCTCACAAACTCTACCTACACTAGTAAGAGCTGCCATATATTGTGAAGTGAAGAGGAAAAATATACTTGAATTAAAACCCAAGTGCAGGGAGGAAAGGGCTGAGCCAGCAGCAGGTCTCAGCAAGAAGCAGGAATGACTTTCCGTGCAACACAAGTGCTTTGAAGAGAGATGAGAGGTTACTCCAGAATCAGTTTAAACTCACCCCATAAATGGTCAAAGCAGCACAGAGAAAGCAGCTCCTCCAGCTACAATACAGATCTTTTATCTATTTTCTCTATGTGTAAAGTTACACCCTTGAGAGCCACTCGCTCTCCCAAAGGGCTATAGAAGAAGGGACAAGAGACAAGGCTGTATCACTCCATCCAACACATTCAAGCACCCAGTGATAATATGAACAATAATCCCATCCAACAGACTTGTCTGGTGACAGTGAATTCTTCAATCCTCCCTCAGCCCCAAGTTAAGAAATGCAGCAGTCATTTTTATTAAAAATCAGTTTACAGTTGAACATAAGCCCAGTGTTTACAACCAATCCCTCGAGTAGTTCCAGGTTTCCTGTCATTTTACAGACTATTAGCAACCAAAGGAATCAGTAGCATAAAGAAACCCCTGTCATTTGTTTTAAAAATTAACGTCCCCACGTCTCCAAGAAAGCAGCATCCACGATCAGTTTGTTTTCCATTGGACTTGCTCTAAGAAACAAGAGTTTTCAACATCATTTTGCAGGCAAATTTATCTTTATAACAGTAATTGCTCTGTTTGCTTTATCATACAGGGTAAGGGACTCTAAGAAGCCTCACAGCGCTGAAAAAATAACCCTAAAAAGAGTTCTCTGACAATTTTTCCTGTGATCTACCTTCTAGAACATCAGAAATGTTTGAGATTTGTTTAACTAGTTGAGTTGAAGCTAAAGAGGGGAGAGGGGCCCCCAATTCACACAATTTGGCAAAAAGCTCATCCATGAATTAAGTTCTCCAACGGCTTCAGGAATCACACAGAAGCTTTCTCCATGTTCCCTCAAAGCATCCAGCAGCGCTGTAGGAGGGAAGCATATTGATGCCCTCGTTCCCCTTTCAATTGTCACGGCTGTTCACATTTCTGCTGCCTCCTCAAGTCATCCAAAGCACAGAGCAGCCTCAGTGGTGAAATAGCAGCTTGCCAGAAGCAGGAAAAGTCCAACCAGTAAAGATTTAATTTATTAAGATAAACATGGTCTAAGGCTCCACGTTATTTTTAAAAATAAACACAGTAAGAAATATGAAAACAAACTGGCTTTGCTACGTGTAGGTCAGGTTCAGACGTTCTCAGAAAGATCTTCTCAACCACACAAAATACTCTTACCCTCTCACCCCCATCATGAGGATGGAAAGACAGTTCACTACGTCAGATCAGCAACGTCCCTGTTGCAGACCCTTCCACATTCAGTGAACAATACCTCTGCCACCCTTCAGGGCTGATGGAAGTTTTAACAACACCCCTGTGAAGAAGGAGAAGAAGGGGAAGGGGGGCAGGTGATTCCATCTCTGAAATGAACATCTAAAAGTCTTGACACGACTGAGTTGACTCCACCACTTTAATGGTTGTTCTTGGCTGCCTCTTTAGCTGCGATAATCAGAGGAGTGAGACTAGAGAGAGGCTTTGCAATTTTCAGGAACTGGTGCTGGGAAGAAGAATAAAAAAGAAAAAGGGTTAAATTTTTCAGAACATGCCCCAAAAGTCTAGTGGTTACTCAAAATATTGGCACCTAGACCTATATGAAGTCTAACAACCTACTCTAATCTCTGAACAGGTAAAACCAAAAGAGCTGTTACCACCACACGCTTTTGGGGCTTGCCTGAAGTGATGAACAGATGTGCACCCAACACATGCTAAATTCTCCATTGTTTATACATGTTCAAGACCAAACAAAACTCAGCAATTTTTCCCTGGGGAATTATAAAGTCTTGCAAAACCTGTAGTGACATTCTATGTGGAAGGAAGGTGTATTACAAACAACCTGTGTGGTTCAAACAGAAGGCACAGGGCTTCCTGCAGGAATCACCTCTCATTTCTCTCTTCCCTGGCATCACAGGTCTGGTGAAAGCATTGCCTTGGCCTTCTACTGATGTTAGAAATTTGCAAAGCAGCTGGAATTTAAAAGAGCAGCACGGAGCTTGCAACACAGAACCATTCAGCCAGTCTCCTATTAAGGTGCTCCGTTAAGTAAAACAATATTGATTATCAAAACAGCTCTCAGATGAGAGTGAAGGCATGGAGGGTAAGTCCACAAGCTGTTCTGGAAACCAAAAGCAACTATATCCCACAGGACTTCTGAGGATCAGAAGATATCAATCACCTAAGGCAACGTGCTTCAGAGATGGGGGAAAAAAGAAATAAATTGGAGACTAAAAGGTAGTTAAAGACATGGAAAAAATGTTATAGTCAAAATGTTCTCCTGCTCCAAGGAACAGAACATTACTGCTCTCTGGTATGTTGGGGTTGGAAAGTTCAGGAAAAGGGATCTTTCAGCTACTGCCACTCTGCCAGCAATTAATGCTCCCTTACAGTCTCAGGAGGCAGCAACACATCCCAAACTAAATCCACTAGGCAAACTAGTGGAAAGCAAGGAAAACCTAAAAGGGAACTGGCTCACAGCTGAAATCTGAGCGTCCCTGATCACAGACTTATTTGACCAAGAGCTACACGTTCCACCCCCATGGCAAATTTGACAGAAGGAACACATGAACCACTCCTCTAATCCATGTTGCTAAAAAGCCTGGCAGCTTGGCTCTCCCCTTTCACCAGAAGTTCAGACTAAGACACAGGGTTTTCAGTGAAATAACTGGTGACAAGATGATGAGACACTGGCACAGATTGTCCAGAGTAGTTGTGGATACAATCTGATCTAGTGAAAGATGTCCCTGCCCATGGCAGGGGGGCTGGACTAGATGATCTTCAAAGGTCCCTTCCAACCCAAATTATTCTATGATTAAGGTATCTCACAAGCTTTGTTCCATCACCTCTGTAAGGACCAGTGTCTGGCAAAATGTGATAATGCCAAACTGCTCCAGTTAATGCAATACCAATACACATTCCAAAGAGCTTTGTGATCCCTCCACCAGAAGGGAGACAACCAGAACATCTGATAGCTAGAAGCCTTCCTGCTGTCCAAATTGGAACAAGCATGGCAAGACCATGACAAGACATACAGATGTCATGGCCAGTTGTGTGTAGCAGCCACAGGAATTAAGGGGCTCAGCATTTATCAGGCCTGGGGCACAGCTATGATTTGAGGTTGGTTTCAGAACATGCTGCACAGCTGCTGCTAGTAGCAAGTACAGCATAAAAAAGGAGTAGTCTGTTAACACTGAATTATAGATTTAGATTTTGGGTTTGGCTTTTTTTTTCCTGGCAGATGACCTTAGCTGTGCTTGGGTCTTCAGCTGATATAGTATTTAAGACCTCAAACAAGATCTCTCCATAAACCTGGCCTCACTCCAGATTACATTACAGATTACTCCAGATTCAACCCCGTTTCTCATCACCTACCTGTAGCAGTTCTTTTGCAGAACCTCTCTTTTCCACATCCATTTCCAGACAGCGATTTAAGAAGTCTCGGAATATGGCTGAAAGCTTTTCTGGATTTTGCAACTCTGGAGTCCCGTTAGTAGCAATGAGATACAGGGCCTAAAACAAAAACAAGCATCAAAAAAAAAAACCAAAACAGAGGGTTATGAAGGTTAGATTCCATCTTTGGATTACAGAGACACCCATTTCTCCTCTCCCTCCCACCCAGTTCAATGGGGAGGAAAAAAAATAATTAAAAAATCACACCTTATCAGGGTGACTAATCAATGCTGAAATTTCAGCCAACAGAATAGCTGCCAGCCCTATTTTTATGTGGATGGGATCCAATCCTTTATTGTTTTTACCCTCGTAATCTGGGTTTGGATCCTGCAGCCCTCTCAAGGGATTAGGAGGACAAAAACAACATTCCAGACCATGTTTACATAGGGAAGTTAACTGGCATGACTCTACCAGTGCTAGACTCCAGCAATAACTATATCCTCATGGGAAGGTACCCCTGAATAAATAGGAGATTTTGCTCTGTCGGTGCTTTGCCTGAGTGCATAAGGCCTAAAAATTCAATACAATAAAGATGCAGTTGGGTCCTTACAAAAAGATGTCCAGCAGCTTTTAACATCCTGCAGAAACAAGCAGTTTTGTTATTGCTTAGGGATGAAGCATTCTCACACAACATGTCCCTCTGAGAATCAAGGAACTCAGAATTCATCCATTTCAGGATTTCATGGATGGATTTTCAAAGGAAACTGACATCTGTCAGAGACTGGTTAATATGCAGGTCCTTTGAGCACATCACTTGGCACATCCCATGGGAGCAGTCTGATAACTTGGGAATTGGCACAAGTTGAGTTAAATGAAGCCAAAGTACCACCCTTGGTTAACTCAGCACCCAGTTTCTTTCACTCTTTGCGGCTGCTTTTCTCTCCCAAAAATCACTTCCAGTGAAGAGATGGAGACAAAAGCTAAACAGAATTTTTCTAGATCCCCTTATCCTGTGTAGCTGAGGGAGAAGCCATTAATCTGGCTTATATTAATTGTAGTTACCCTACAAACTGACAGCAACTCCTCTTTCATTAAAAACTAAGCAAGGGAAGGACATCAGGGGGTTTAAGCCCTGTCTAAAGGCTTCTTCAGCTTGTAGCTTTCTTTGGAGCATGCAAGGAAGAACAATCCACCAGCAGGAAAAAGCTCTGTTTATAGAAACATGTCACATTTTTTAACTAAAGGAAAACTCTTCCTCGCTCACAGGGCTCAAGGATTCAAGAAGTCAGGTGCTTTGGTGCCATCAGGTATTCTTTCTGCCTCTATCAGCATCTCTCTAAAGTGGGAAATTATGAATGTGCATGATGGAGCTGACCAGAGGGTTTGCAACATGAAGAACCTCTGGTGAAACTACCCAGAGCCAACTATGGCTTTTAACTAAAACTATCTCAATCTTCTCACTACGATACTCCTATTCAATATCTTCGTCAGTGACTTGGATAAAGGGACCGAGTGTACCCTCAGCAAGTTTGCTGATGACACTAAACTGGGAGGAATGGCTGATACACCAGAAGGCTGTGCTGCCCATTCAGTGAGATCTGGGTAAGTTGGAGAGTTGGGTGCAAAGGAACCTGATGAAGTTCAATAAGGGCAAGTGGAGGGTCCTGCATATGGGAAGGAATAACCCCAGGCACCAGGATCGGTTGGGGGCTGACCTGCTGGAGAGGAGCTCTGAGGAAAAGGAGCTGGGGGTGCAGGTGGATGACCAGTTGACCATGAGCCAGCAGTGTGTCCTGGTGGCCAAGAAGGCCGATGGTCTCCTGGGGGCATTCAGAAGAGTGTGACCAGCAGGT